TATAGTTAAAACACAACAATCACATGCAATAGCAGAAAGGGCCAAAGTTTTAGAATCAAACACAACAAAATTAAAATTTATTTACTATGAGGCTTCAAACCAGTTACTTAAACTTGTGGAGTGTTGATATCTACCCTGCAAGATGGTGAGAACTAAATGAGGCAGTGCATATAGATTGTCATGCACAAAAGTAAAGCCAGTTGCCATTAGGTCAACTCATGGCGACCCTATGTGTTGCAGAGTAGAACTGTGCTCTGTAATGTTTTCAATGGCCAATTTTTCAGAAGCAGATCACCAGGCCTATCTTCTCAGCCACCTCTGGGTGGGTTTGAACCACCAACCTTTTGGTTAGTAGTCTAATGTTTAACCATTTGTGCCACCCAAAGACTCCTGCACAGAACTTAATAATTGCTCATAGCATTAGGACTCCTGACAGTCCTCCTGTACCGATCAGGAAGATTTTAATTCACTTCACTTTACATCCACTTAAGAAGAAAAGGAGAAACAGCAAAGGAAATATGAACACTCCTTGTGCACTTACTTCAGATTCAGCACCAGCACCTGTGTTAGGTCTCATGTGAGACAAGAAGGAAGTGTAAGTGCCTTAAAGAACCTTACAGTTCTCTTGGGAAAACGATATATATATTATGAAAACATGGGACAACTAGAGAAAAAACAAAGTGGTGTGCTGAGTGTAATTTTGGGTCACAATATATGGGATACGCCAGAAGAGATTTGTATCATTTAAGATGGTAGGGATAGATGCAAATGGGAAAAACATATTTTTTAAAAATCTGTTTTATAAACTAAGATGCCACAAGATTGTTCGACTGAGAAAAGCCCACTGATGACAATAGTTTGAAAACCAAGAGACCAATCTGTGTACATTATAACTTCCAAAGATTCATAAAGGAGGTGGAGTTTGAAGGGTATTAAGGACTGGGAGGGGTTGGATTGATAGTGAGAAAAAGTTACAGATTGAAGGCAGAGAGAGAGAGATAAAAGTGAACACACTCCAAGTTCATCCATTCATTCATTGTGGATTATCAGGTCCAGAATGTTCTGACTCAAGCAATTCTGAACTCCCTGGACTAGGTCCGGTTTCTAATAGGCATTCACATGGTGAGGATTGCAGTAGAGTCAGTGTTAAGCTCACAGGCACTGGAGTTAGACTGTCTGGAATCAAATCCTACCTCTATCACTTACTAGCTATATGACTTGGGAAATTTCTTTCTCTTCTATAAGTCTTAGCTTCTTATCTGTAAGATGATGATAATTATTATACCTACCTCTTGGACTCTTGAGGCTTATATAATATCTATAAAGCATTTATTACCATGCCTGGTATACAGCAAACATTCAATAAATACTGGGTGTTATTTATTTAGAGCATTTGCCTGAGTTTCCAATCATACGTCTAACCATATATATGTACATATATGTATATATATATATATATACATATATGTATTTAGATAGATATACGTGTGTGTGTGTGATTAGAAGGAGTTTGAAAAGATTTCGAGTAACACTTATATTAACAATATCAGAATATATTTTTAAAACTAATTATTTGGTTGTATATGGTCTAGGATATGTGGGCTTTTTAAAAATTACATGTACCATTTCACCCACCAACATAGCAAAATTTTAAAGTTTGAGATATTGAAGGTTGGTGGGGTAATGGGAAAAATAGGCTGCTGGCTCATAAACAAATGGTAGAAGAGTAAAATATGCAATTATTTGAACAACAACTTGGCAGTTTCTATCCAAAACAATTTATTTTAATATAACCAGCCATTTTACTTTTAAAAATTTACCCTAGAAATACACTTGAAAATGTTTTATCCAAATACATGAACTTGAATATTCATTGTAGCATTGTTGTTGGTGGTGGTTGTTGTTATGTGCTATCAAGTTGGACCCAACTCATAGCGACCCCTCCTTGGGTTTCCAAGGCAGCATCACTATGGATGTACATTGCTCCATCTTCCTTGCGAGGAGTGGCTGGTGGGTTTGAACCACCAGCCTTCTGGTTAGCATTGTTGGTAGTAACTCAAAAATGAAAGCAGCCTAAGTAACCATCAATACTGAACTGATACATTCATACACTGGGATACTGCACAACTATTTAAAAGGATATATATACATGAAAATATCCAAATAAAGTAAGAAGTAAATAAAAGAAAGCATATAACAGCATTAGAGTATGATACTTCTTGTATAAATAACAAGGATATGCACACACATGCTAACATATATATAGAAAAACTTATAAGAAGCTGTTACAGATGATTACCTTTGATGTGAGACAAAAGTGAAAGAGACTTTTACTTTTCTTTGTATAATCTCTGTACCTTAAGAAATTTTAAGCTTATATTCTACATTTTTCTTTAATTTTTTATTTTGAATTAATTTTAGAATCAGACTGTATACATTTCTCCCTTCTTTATATTTTTCTATTGGAAAACACAATAAACTTTCTTTTAAAAATAGTCTTAATCATATTTTACAAGGTGATCAATAAAGCATTAGTTCATTCTCCTATTAAATGAGACAATGTGTTAAGAGCACTAGCACAAACATTGGCATACATTGTTGTTGTTGTTAAGTGCCGTCAAGTCATTTCCGACTCATAGCGACCCCATGCACAGCAGAATGAAACACTGCCCGATCCCGCGCCAGCCCCACAATCCCTGCTATACTTGAGCCCATCATTG